AAGGCTAGTTGTCGCATGTAACATGCCAAGAGGGTTGGTGCCCCCGTCCCCGTCCCTCATGGTAACCCTCCTTGGATGGCCACGTTTTCCACATATTTGGACAAAAAAAAAACCCTCAAAGAGAATATAAGATATCTGAGCCAAGATGAGTTGTGTCCTAGGAACATGGATTTAAGTTGCCCCAAAGAAAATGTAGAAATGGTTTCGTTAAGTTTATTTTGTTATGGGATAGAATGAAGACATAAATCGAGGCGTTTGTGAATGCTTTGGTGGGAGCTCAGATGGGATAGGCAGCTTACAGCAGGGCAGGAAGTCTCTCAGTTTCTGTCCGACGTCCTTAGCTTCGAGCTGATAGAACTTAGTGGTCTGCTGAATCCACAGGTTCCAGAAGGTTTTCCCTGCCGGTAGCTGGGGCGTTAGGTAAGACTTGGGTGGGCAGCAGAGCCCAAGGCATGGCCCCAGCTTGGGCTCTGGATCTGCAGCATTCCAGCTCTTTACTGTTGTGACCATTTGATCACACTCTGACAATAAAGTTTGTTTTGTTTTGAATCAGAGAGCGGAACTAGCCACTAGCTAATCATAGAGTTTTGGAGGACCAAGGAAGTAGTAAGGCGGGACTTAGAGAGGAACTCGGCGCTTTTTGAGGAAGGAATGGAAGAGATGGGAAGTCACTGGTGGCTTAGCCGCAGCTTCTCTGACCATTCAGTTTCTTGACCCAGTATCTGACTCTCGATTTTATACTGATAAAGAAAAATTAGATAAATACTTCACTTTACAATCCAGAACTTCTGGTCATTCTATCCGCATTTTAGGGCTTGTGAAGTGGGAGTGGCCTCTTTTGGGGGACTTTTCATGGTCTTCATTCTGGGTGTGTGTGTGTTACAATTCCTCTTCTAAGTGTCCAGTGTGTGTTGTTTGCTTGCTTGCTGTGTTGTTTCTTTGTCTTTGTTGTTGTTTGGTTTTTGTTTTCTAAGTTTGACCCTGCCTCCAAATACAGTCACTAAGAGTACTGAGCATCACAACATCCGCATATAAATTTGGACTGGGGCCAGTGAGGCCCATAGGCATCCCTGTGAAGGAAGCTTACTTAGTGTATAAGTTGTGGGAGGCAGAGCCACCCGTGACATGGTCCCCTTGGTTCATATTACCGGTTTTCTGCAGACCTCCCAGGCTGAGGCGTTAGGCCTCTTTGTCCCCATGACTCTGGGCCTCCTGGGTTCTGTGGGATCCTACAAGACCATACGCACGCACGCAGCCAGGTTGGCTCAGTGGTGAAGGCTTCGGTCAGCAAAACCTGCTATGTTTGTTGGTGATAACCGGAGCTGCAGGACTGAGATCCCAGATGACAGACTGTGCCAGATCCCTCCTGGCTAGCTTTCCTCATCTTGAGTTTGGCGTGTTCAAAAGCCACCCATCTTCCTGTCATGAGCATCTCTCTGACTTTGGCATTTGAGAATATGTCTGGGGACGTCTGTGAGACAGGATGTCCAGGGCTCAGAAGGATGGCTTCTGAGACCAAGTAGGGTAGGTGGAGTCCCTGGCTTTCAGGCGCCAGAAAAAGTGCATAGGGAGGAAATGCAGGCACCGTCCCAACCTGAGACAGATTGGGTAGCTAACATTTCCTGTTTCGGGTGCCGGGAAGGTAAGGCACCGCAGGGGACACCTTCAGTGCTGGAAGCAGGCGTTCTTTCTGAGGAGGCTGTGGTGGGAGATTGGGGAGAATGATGAGCAGTTAGGTGTATCCCTGTTTGAGAATCTTGTTTTGTGTAGTGAAGACTTCCAGGGTGTGCCAAGTTGTCCCATTCTAACTCAGCCCTTGAACCCATCTTTTAGGCATTCTGGAGTTGCCGGGACTTGAGACCTGGTGGCGTGTCCTGAGTGTGGGAGGAGCTGTCAACAGGCTCCTTAGATCAGTGGTTCTCAACCTGTGGGTCACGACCCTGTGGGTTACATACCAGACATCTACATTATGATTCATAACAGTAGCAAAACTGCAGTTATGAAGTAGCAATGGAAACAGCTTTATGATTGGGGGTCACCACAGCATGAGGAACTGTATTAAAGGGCCACGGCATTAGGAAGTTTGAGAAACACCACCTTAGATGCTCGCCCGGCTATCCAGAGGCTGTGCATAATGTGCTCTGTCACCTTGGACAAAAGCTTGACCTGATGGAAGAAACCAGTTTCTTTATATCCTAGAGGTAGTGACTTTCTAGTAGTAGACTGAGCTTCTGGAAGACTCTAGAGGTTACTGGGAGTTGGCACATAGTGCTTCTCTTTCATCGTTTGTACAGTGGGGCTAACACCATAGGTAGGAACCTCGCTAAGAGAGTGGCTGTGGAAAATCAGGTAAGAGGAGGCCGCTGAAACCACTCTGCACTGACCTGTCTGTGCTTGGGAACTTCATCAAGATGTACTTTGCCTGTGCAGCCAGAAGGTGGCGACATTGGCCACATACTGGCACTGCAGGCCTCTATCCTCAAGGTTCCATTCCCTGGTGTGGCAGTGGTGTTCAGTTGCTGCTTTGGTTCCCTGTCAGGTGTAGGTGTCCCTTGTCAGCTAGATGAGTGACAGAAGGGGCTTGTCTGCAGACTGCTGTAGCTTTCTGGTCAGCTTGCTGTCATTCAAGTACTGTCGCTCCTTGCTGAGGCTTGAGTTGCCAACTTCCTAGGGCATGGCCATCCTGTAGCCTGGAGGGTTTGGACTGAAGTCCAAGCTGGGATCGAAGGGAGGGTGAGTTTCAGGAACGACCCTGTCCCAATGGCTGCTCTCTTGCTCCGCTGGCCTGTCTGCATTCTGGGGGTGATTGGAAAACTAAATGAGATCTGCTTTGCACTCAAGCCTGAAGGTTCAGGGTTGACTCAGATCTGAGATGCTCTGGCCCAGTGGGCATAAGTAAAAGGTCTGAAGTTTTATATACCCCCCATCCACATACCCACACACATTTGTTTCCTGTTGTGTGGCTCGGGCTGGCCACAAGCTCCCTCTAGAGCTGAAGATGGCCTTGGTTTGATCAGCCTGCCTTCTAGTCTCCTTTGTGCATCAAGTAGCTAAATTCTCGAACAGTCGGGTGATGGTCCTTTCATACGCTGGTCTTCCTATCAGTCTGTTAGCCCAGACATAGAAACTTGCACCAGCAGAAGTGCTAGGGTTTTGCAAAACAGAATGGTTTGTGTGTGTGTGTATATATGTTGAGCTGAAGAATTTAAGTAACTAAGTGTTTGGAACAAATAAATGTTGTTGATTTGAAATGCCAATGTGTTGGTTACTTTTATATATCAACACCGATATAAAAATACAAAGCCTGTTGTAATTTCAGCAATGTGCCACAAGGTGGCACCAACCTCAACTGTCTTAGCCACCAGGAAGTGTTGCTCAGCCTTTTTTTTTTTTTTTTTTTTTTTTTTTTTTGGTTTTTCGAGACAGGGTTTCTCTGTATTGTTTTGGAGGCTGTCCTGGAACTCACTCTGTAGACCAGGCTGGCCTTGAACTCACAGAGATCCACCTGCCTCTGCCTCCCGAGTGCTGGGATTAAAGGCGTGCGCCACCAACGCCCAGCGACTCAGCCATTCTTAACAACAAAATCCCACAAATTCTTTGTTTTGGAACTTTATTCTCCGGAGTCAGGAAATTTGATTTGGTAACAATATGTTTGCATCTTTTCATTTTAAAAAGTGCTGAGGTTGTTTTCTATGAGGTTTCTCCTTGAAGCCCCATGTCATAGCATCTGTTGACACTATGTATTTTCCACAGGAAGAACTTCCTAATGATAATGTTGCTTAGTTTTAAGAAAATACTTAATTGTTTGTTGTGTATGCGGTGTTGTGCCCACGTGCCAGAAGAGGGCGCCAGATCTCACTACGGATGGCTGTGAGCTACCATGTGGTTGCTGGGAATTGAACTCAGGACCTTGGAAGAGCAGCGAGTGCTCTTAACCTCTGAGCCGTCTCTCCAGCCCCATGTTGCAGAATTTTTAATGTTAAGGCTTTAATATTTGTCTTTGTATTTGTTCTTGTTTATTTCCTAGATCAACACAGTTTTTTAAGATTTATTTTTTGCTGGTGTTCTGCCTACACGTGTGTCTGTATATCACATCTGTACATGGTCCTCAGAAGCCGGGAGAGGGTGTCGGGTCTCCTGGAACTGGAGTTACAGACAGTTGTGAGCCACCGTGTGATTGATTGCTGGGAGTCCTCTTAACTGCTGAGCCATCTCTGCAACCCTAGATCAGCTCTTCAAGAATTAGGTTTCATTCTCTACTTTTCCCAAGGCCATGGATTTCTAGATAATTTCAGGAAACTGAAATAAAATGCTTGAACTCACGAATTGAAACTTTTGAATCGCTTACTTTTATAAACATTTGGATTTATGTCGTGTCTACTCTGTGTGTGCATTGCTCATTTTTATGGCTATTTGAATCATTTAGTATGTGAAATACTGTCTACTGTGTGTGTGTGTACACACACATGGCAGCTTGATTTAGTAAGAATGTGCATCAGCGAGGGCTTGCCATGTCCCTCATCTTTTACCTGCATTCCCTTCTTGTTTTGTGACATATCGTAGTGAGAAGAAACCCTTTCCAAATAAACAGACCTAAGTTTTTGTGTCAGGCTTTTCTTACTCCACAATAAACGTGGTAGAGAAACAACCTTGGTCAGAAAGATCTTTCTGCAACCACATTTGAGCTCAGTTTCTAACCTAAAAGTAACTCTATTAGTAATTCAGTTGGAGTAAACGTGATGCAGTCCAGAACAGTGGTCTGTGTTTGGCTGTTTCTAGAATCTAGAAGACCATAGGGTTTTGGTGTTGTTTTGCTTGAGGGTTTTTTGTTTTGATTATTTCTTCTTAATAGAAAGCTTTTAAATGTTTACTGTTCGTCAGTCATTTTCTTTTGGGGTTTGGTAGCAATGGGAAAGGGCCTGTGAGTGTGGATAAATATATTTGCTTAAATGAAGCATGACCAGAACTGACAACCTTCTTTCTTCTCTTTTCTCCCTTAGATTGGAATAATCGGTGGAACGGGCTTGGATGATCCAGAAATTTTAGAAGGAAGAACTGAGAAATATGTGGATACTCCATTTGGCAAGGTTAATGTCCCGCTGACACTTTGGTTGCTTATTACTGGCTTGAATTTTCAACGTCAAGAAAAGCAACCGCGGTTGCTTTTGTATGGACAGCCTAAAACCTGGTCCAGGTAGAGGGCCCGCAGTGCTGCTGCTGGGTTTCATGGGCTAAGTTGTCCTTGAAGGTGCGTGAGGCTGCCGTTTGGATGACACGGCTTTCAAACACACAAGTGGCATCTCGGTTTGCATTCCTAGAAGTCAAGATGCTCATCTTAAATTCAACTGTTTCTGATTTAGAGCCCAGTTCACGCCATGCTAACTTAGCAGACAGACTGGTGGCTATAGATAGAGAGAGTCATTATGAATTGGCTCTTCTGGCCAAGATGAGTCCTGGGGTTAGGAATAAGGGGATTCTTGGGAAGGCTGCTTATTTTCCAGCCCGGGCTGGGTGAGCTGTCTACATTCCTAATTTCACATTGCCTCTCCCGAACACTGGCATTCCTTCCTCTGAGGAAGACTTGCATCCCCGCCCGGCCCTCCTTTTAGGCTAAGCTCTTAGCTTGACCTGGGGTTTTCCAAGTCCTTTCCCGTCTCACCCTTAGCCTCAGGCTTTCCAATGTCAGCTCTTGGGTTTTTCCCTTCGTCACGTTAGCTCATTCTGTGGCCATCTTAACCCTGGTTGCCACAAGCAGGTGGGTCCATCGCTTAGTTCTTGGTGCCCCGCAGTGATCTCCTAACCTTTCAGCTTTTGACTCACAACATTTCTTGAACCCTTTCAAATGCCCTAGACACACGTAAATTTGATTAGTCTACCCTGGGAGTTTCCCAGGACAGTTGGTACAAAGCCCCTGCAATGCTGCTTCATAGCCTGTGGGGTCCTTGCTAGCGGAGAGCACTTACGGGTGATAATGTTGATCAGTAACACCTAAAGTCCTTTTCCTAAGGAATATCTACAAACTAGATTTCTACCAGTTTTCTGTGGTTTAATGATTCAGATGTTTAAGAACTGTTTATACATGTTTTAAAATTACTAAGCTGCGACTGTCTGCTTTTAATTGCCTGCAGCCATCTGATGCCTTAATTTTGGGGAAGATAAAAAACGTCGATTGTGTGCTTCTTGCAAGGTAAAGTATTTTGAGTTTTTTGTTGTTGTTGAATATTATTACTTCAGGAGAATTTAAATTTAACTTAGAGTCCAGGAATAGATAATAATGTAGATATGGGATAGGTGTCTGTAGAGTCAGAATACATCAGTTCCTTTATTTACTACACATGGCTCTGGGACAAGCTCAGATTATAGGTATTTAGGAAATAAAGATCTCCTTCCTCACTTTGGTTTGGAAAATAGATCTGTTGAATGCCACTGATGTTCCAGTTTCTGTCCTAAGGACAAAACAAAACTATTGGCTTTGTTACTTGCTTTCTTCCAATTATCAGACAGATGAGATGCTTTGCTTGTGATGAGTCCTTGTCTGAAAGCAGTTACAGTTGTCGGGGAAGAGGTCTCTGTCCCGGAGCTAGCCTGGATCACTTCTTGTGCCTGTTTGTACCCTGGTTCCCTAAACAGGCCTCGTGGTGTAAGCTGCTGCCCAGAAAGCAGCATAGTTAGAAATTCCCCTGACCACAAGTGGCCTCCCCTTCAGTTAAGGCAATAGCAAGCAGGTCCTCAGGCCAGCAAGGTGGCACCTAGTCACAGGAGTTGGGGAACAAGTCTCAGCCGGCGCACACTAGATGTGTGGATTATACGGGGCATGAAAGGGAGACCTAACAAACCTTTGTCCACCACAGTGACGTGGAAAGTAGGTTCTTGGGAGCCGGCAAAGCTAAAATGTAGTTTTAAGCAGTCCCCTGCTATAGATTTCTTACAACTCTGGTTCCTTCCGCTATAGTCATTGCTGGAGAAATGCCTGGTTTTTTTTTTTTGTTTTTTTTTTCCAAGCTCAGGGAAGAAACAGTTGTTTACATTACACAGGTATTTCATTTCTTCTGGGGAAACCTGCTGAGAGCCTTGGAGGCCAGCCCCAGGAAGATATACGTATCTCTGGGTAGTGAGGGCTCCTGCTTTTTTAGAGGCTGTCTATGAAGTCAGGGTGGAAACCTTAGTGCCAGTCCAGAGTCAGTTACCATTAAATTACAAACCGGATGATAGTGAGTTTTTATTTAACAGCTCTGTAGAACAGGTACATATTTTGTTATGTTTCACTGTGGAACAAACTCCTGGCTCCGAGTTGGTTGGGTGCCTTTGGGGGAAGGCCACAGAGGAAGTGATTGAGTTATTCTTAAAGGCTTTTTTGTCCGCTGTTACTACCATACTCCATTTGGTGTTCCCACGTCTTGTTCCCCATTTGTCATCTCTGTTACCAGCTAAGAAATGCCCATGCCATTTTCAGTATAAAAGTTGTGGCCTTCTGAACCTGTGGTTTAAGTTGCCATACAAAGCTATGCTTTCCCTCTCTGGCTGTTTACTTCTTACTGGGGAAAGTGGTAGCTCTCCGTAGCATTACCAAATGTCAGTGGAACCAAATTTTTTTACATTAAAAGCTGACATCATATTGAACAATACATTGAGAAATTAATCAAAGTAAATTTTTCTTTCAAAACCAAGCAAACAAAGGAAGAGCCCTGTCTTCAAGTACAGCCACAGCCTGTGATCCAAGATGGGGTTAGGTCTACAGTTCAAGAATTTTGATTCAGGGCTCAGCCATGGTGGTGCATGCCTTTAATTCCAGCACTCAGGAGAGGTGGGCAGATCTGTTGAGTTTGAGGCCAGCCTGGTCTACAGAAGGAGTTCCAGGACAGGAGGGCTACATAGAGAAACCTTGTCTCAAAAAACAAACAAACAAAAGAACTTTGATTCAGTTAAGTCCATAACAGTAGTCAGGAAAGAGCTGGTCTGTCATCCAAAGCCAGCAGGAGCTCATAGACTGAGCAGTTTCATAGTTTACCCAGTTGGGCTGAAGGGGTGGGCAGGGTCTCTGTTTCCTTATAACTGTTAAAAGGCCCTGCCCTGGTGACTGATGTCCTATGGTGATCTCCTTCCTTAGACATGGGAGACAGCATACTATCATGCCTTCAAAAGTCAACTACCAGGCAAACATCTGGGCTCTGAAGGAAGAAGGTTGTACACATGTCCTAGTGACCACAGCTTGCGGGTCCTTGAGAGAGGAGATCCAGCCTGGTGACATGGTCATCATCGATCAGTTCATTGACAGGTAAGGGGTAAGTGGCCTTATAGCTCACCTTTTCAGCTCTGAAGGAACATGGGGAAGGGGCAGAGCAGGGCACAGAATCACTGTAAGCTCTCCATTGTAGGGGTTTTATTTTTTAAGTGAACTGACAAATGGTAATTATACATTGATGAACATAATTGATACATGTGGGCATTGCATGGTCATTTTTATTCTCACTTGCATTCTCACTTCACATGCACACTGCACAAATCACTGCAAGCATTAATTTTCAGTATATAATAGACATACCACAACACCATGCCATATAGGAGATCTGGAACTTCCTCTTTCTGCTTAACTGAAATTGTCTCCCAAGGCTCTGGTGAACACTGATTTGTCCTCTGCTTCTGAGTCTGTTTTAGATGGCTCGTTGCTCATTGTCTTTCAGGGTCTTGCTTATTTCGCCTCACAAAAATCCCTCCGGGTTCACTCATTTTGCTGCAAAGGACCATTGTCTTTTTTATGGCTGACTAATGTCAGTTGCCCGTATACCACATTTTCTAATCTGTAGACAGGCATCAGGGTTGATTCTATGACTTGGCTATCACCGGTGAGAAAGCTGGGTATGCAAGGGTCTCCAATGTGCTGACTTAGACACTCAAGGTGTACTCCCAAAGGTGGGTAGGTCTTGCTGTGTTCACTTTTCTTTGAGGAATCCCAGGTTGATTTTCATATTGGCTGAGCTATATTTACGTTCCCACCAGCAAACAGCTATTGAGGGCTTGTTGTCGTCTGCATCTCTACCAAACCTTATTGCCTGTTTCTTGAGGAGAGCCATTCTGGCTAAAGTGAGATGGAATCTGGAATCTCACTGTGCTTTTGATTGACGTTCCCCTAGTGGCTAAATATGCTGAACGTGGGTTTGTTAGTTGTTTCTACTTCGGAGAGGTGTCCAAGCTGTTCGATTCCTCATTTATTGATTGGATTGTTTATCTTTTTTTATTATTTTTTAGTTCTTTACATATTTTCAATTTTAATCCCTTGCCAGATGAATAATGGCTGGCAAAGATGGTCTTCCAGTTTGTGAGTACTTTCTGGTATTTGGTCATTGTATGTGTGCTTTTTAGCTTCATGCAGTCCTACTTGCCCATTGTTATTACTTTCTGGGCTACTGGAGTCCTGCTTAAGGAAACTCTTGCCTTGCCCTGGCCACGCCCACATCATCAACTTGTCAGAACTACCTGGTGGCTTCTGAACTGTAGAGTATAGGCAGGAGCTTGCTCAGGGCAAGGGAAGAATCAGGAAACTTGGCCCTGATTTCATTTCAAACATGGGAAATAAGGAGATAGTAGGTTTCTTTGGTATTAAAGTTCTTGACAAATATTTTGCATTCCATGGTTCTGTGGTCACCTTAGTGACAACTGCAGGATGATTGTGTTCCCTTTAAAGGCCTCCTCCTGTCCAGGAAGAAACCTGGACCAATCACACAACCCAAGCACACTCAGGTCTCCCCTTTCTCCTCCCAGATTTTTGGAAAAGAATGGCCTTATTTTCTGACAAGGGCTCCTAACCTGTGAGCCTCTTTTAAGTATGTATGTTTTCTTATTAGAGCAGAAATCTCACATCTTCCTGTCCGTGCCCTCATGGCACAGCTCTTGTGAAATATTTGACATAAACCCAAGACTGAAAACAGGGGATTCATACTGATCATATTAAGATCCCGTACAGTCTTGTCCCCCAGGAGATCTCCATGGTGACAGCTTCCTGCTGTCTTCGGTTTGATGAATCCATTTCTTCTGCCTTGTAGAAGGTCCCCATTGTCAGAACCACATGTGATTAGACCATTGAAAACAGAGGCTTGTTCTATCCTTCCTTCCTTCCTCCCTCCCTTCCTTCCTATCTACAGAACTTTTAATTATATCCAGTTCCCTTCAAACCACCAAACACATTTGATTATGTTATCCAATACCACAGGTTGGAGTTAGGCTTTTCCACTAATGGCTCCCATGATTTCTAGTGTAAGTTTTTCTTGCCAGACCCCTTCTTACTTAGTTATCCTGGCACTGGTGGTCTTGGTTTTTAACATCTGGCTCTGCTCCTAGCATGCCCAGCTTCTCTGTCCTATATGATGAGTTTTTCGGGAGTTGATCAAGAACACGAGAGGCTTTGTGTGCAATATTGATAGCCTGTCTCGTGGAGCGTTGCATACAGCCAGCCCCAGCAGACCGTGATCTTAGGCATGCCCACTGTGCTGTTTTCTTTTTCTTGGCAGTCATTAAATAGCCCACTTGAAAGCGTAAAGAATTGAACCTTTTGTCTTGGTCTAGGAGAATCTTGTTAGGTGTTTCTATTTTTAAAGGACTTTATAGGACATCCGATGTTTATAATATGAAGTTTCTCTCCTATAGTGCATACCCTCATTATGTGGGTATGGCTTTGATCCTCCGGGGGGGGGGGGGAGACAGAGCATGCATGTTGTGTGAGTAGGGTAGGTAGCTGTCACACAAGTCAACATGGCTTCCCTCAGCTGCTCTCAAGGCCCCACTTTTAGATGGTGGTGCTTCCTTGAATTTCCTGTGTGCTTTCAACCCAGTGTCTTCTGATCTACAGTGTTGCCGCTTATGGTTCAAACAGCAGTTGTATGAACCCCACCTACTTGCCGATGGGGTCTGTAGTTACTTCTTCACTACATGGTCACCATTCTTTTTGTTATTATTTGACTGTATGTGCATTGGTGTTGGCCCACCATTCTTTTTTACTATTATTTTACGGTATGTATGTGCGTTTGGTGTTTTGTCTACATGTATGTCTGTGTGGGGGTGTCAGATCTTGGAATTACAGACAGTCGCTAGCCGCCATGTGGGTGCTGGAAATTGAACCCGGATCCTCTGGGAGAGCAGTCTTAACCCCTGAGCCATCTCTCCAGTCCCTGGTAATGGATCTTTTTACAAATGTCTTTGGAGATGTAGTGTCCTAAGCCCAGCAGTGTTTGTGGTGAGACCCTTCATGATGTCTGACACTTGCTATGGATACTTCCTCCCTACCTGTAGCTTGGCAAGGGTCCTGTGTAAACAAAGCAGGTATCTCAGAAGAGACTTGAACAAATTTAGAGGCACAGGTGTGCGGTTGCGTAGCCTTTGTTCTGTTGCTGCTTATCAGCTCTGTAGCTGATGCTTGGGTTGACTTGAAAATGTTGCACAGGGATGGCTTCACCTGAGGGACTGTGCTGGCCTCTCCCGGTGCTTCTGTCATCAAAGCCAGAAGTTTCTATTGTCTCTTCCTATGCTACTTAGGACTCTTGTTCTGCCCCCGCCCCGCCCCCTCAGTTTTCCCAAGCTAATCACTGGTAGATGCTGTTACAGACCTCCTGTCTGGGTGGAAGAAATGTGATTCAGTCGTGTCATTTACGAGTTCCAGAGGCCCAGGGATGGGGACTTGCAGCCCTATACCCTTTTCTTCCATCAACTTCTGTGACTCGAAATACCACAAGAATGAATGCCAGTGAGAAGGAAAATGAGGTGTTGTTTTTTGTTTTTTTAATACTTGCCTTTATCGGGAATGTGTTGCAGCTTAGGGTTTTGTTTTGTTTTACAGTGGGGGAAACAAAGAATACAGCCCCAAACCCCAAAGATCAAAGAAAATAAAGCATGATTTGTAGTGCCACATGGTTTCTTTGCAGCGTGGTTAGCATGTTGGCCAGTGGGACTTCTGGACCCCGGTGAGGTACTGCTTAAAGAATGCAAAGAGCTACCCCGTGCCCAACTCTGCCGACCCTTCCCTCGGGTGCCATTGTCCTTCAGTATCCTTGTCTGCTTACGAATTCTAAGGGTGTTGAGTTCTGCTTTTTTCTTTCTTTTCTTTTCTTTTTCCCAGTTTATCCTCTTGCAGGAAGAATAGGAGAGGCCTGGGTTTGCCATTGCATTCTGACTCATCAGGAAAGTCCCTGCAGTAGACACATAGGCTGATAGATTAAGTCTGTTTATTTCCCCCTCCCAGAGATGCAGCCCTGCCTTGGGCTTCCCCCATGAAGTCATAGGTTAAGGCTGTGGTCCTGTGCCTATTCCTTGTTAGGTGTAGGTAGAGTCTATGATTAGAATCAGAAACTCCCCGAGCTGAGCATTTCGGCTTCCCTGTGTGGCCTCAACCCTCCAGAAGCCACGGCTGGACGATTAGGATTTTGGGGTCAGTCTGGATACCTGGATCACATAGTGAGACAGACCCTGTCTAAACAAAAAAAGGAAGGAATGACGGTGCCTGGTGGCAGATGGGACCGTCCTGCCCCCGCAGCTTCCTGTGTGTCCTCACTGTGCTGACAGTGTCGCCTTCGGGATGAGGAAGCCATACTTCTGGGCACACACTCGCTACCTGCCTTTACACCCCCTTTCATCTGCAATGTGTGTCTTGAGGTCTCCTTTATCTGGATGTGCTTAAAGTGGGGTCAGCACCCCCCTAGAAGTAGCTTGTCTTTGTATTCTGCTCTGGAACCTAGCTTAGGTCTAGATCGGCACAGTGTTGCATGCAGTGGTCCTTGGCTGAGTTATGCTTGAGGGGACCTGGGTAAAAGAGATGCTGTTTAACATGCTAGCAAGCGAACCCTGCCTGGGGGATTTGAACTCAGGTGACTCTCAAGCCTGTCACCTCGGCTGCCCCTCATCTGCGTGCTTCCCGGCTCTGCCCACCCCCTGAGATGCCTCAGATGTTGTCATTGCCTCCTGGCCCTTTGCTCATCCTAACACTACTGGTGTTATCCTTGGTGATCCTTGCTGGGGCCCTCTGTCACTCTTGCGTATTGCGCCTCTACGTCACAGCATCTTGTCTCTGCGTGCTTGACCCTCCCTCCCTCCTGTACCCTTTCTGGACAGTTCGCCGCTTCTCCAGCTGACAGCCCTTTAGCTGCTTTTCATACGTCTTTTTGTGTAAGTGTGACATAAACCAAGAAGCAGCCACAAGAGTCCCTGGGGATCTCCTCGGGGCACTGAGCAGCAGTAGCTTAACCAGGGGAAATGATGCTCTGGTTAGCTGTCTTCGTACACCTCTGCCCT